GTTATATTTATATAGACAACATACGGTACTGTTATATTTATATAGACAACATACGGTACTGTTATATTTATATAGATAACATACAACAGACAGTTCTATTATATGTACATTGATAAGCTTTTCTAGCTGTTGAGTAACAGTGTATCAAAGAAGTGATTTATATAAAATGGTATTTCAAGGTAAATGTTATTGTAGTTATAAAGATTGTCTGGTTTAAGAAGCAAGAGAACGAAAAAAAGAAACTGGAGATGTATTATGATAATATAATATATTCAACCGTAAACCATTATCTTCTCTTCAGTGTCTCCATTCTTGTCAACAGAGGCTGGGTATCAAGGAAACGGACACCACCAGCAATGAGAAAGGAGGGTCAGGTATTTAATTATTTACTACGATTTACATCCACATCTCTCTCTGGTTTTTTACTTTGGTGGTATTCAATAAAGTTTTTCTTAAAATTGATTCTGTAGTGTCTTTGTGGAAAAGAAATGGTGTTTTCTGTGTTAATAATACTCTGTATGAGTGTGTTGTAAGTTTTAAATCAGATAACAGATGAATTGTCCCTGTTTTAAGTTAGGTGCCAGGAATTAATGTCACCATGAGAAATAAAACTGTTGTTTATGGAAGGGAAGCTTTCTGGCAAGATTCCCCATTACGTCCTATCTATTAGATTTGAAACCGTGTCAGTTGTAATTTTCTGAGTTACTTGAATATGGTAATGATGTCATTGAACTTAATGGGACTTTTCATTTAATCAGTTGTGCAAAATAATCTTATCATTGCTACAGTATTATAACTTTTAGTTAAAGTGAAAGTTATAGTTTGTCTCACATATTAAACACCATCCAAACAAAAAAATAACAACACCAATACTAAAATATTATAACTTTCACTTTTAGTATTGATGATGTTGTTGAATGTAATAGGTGAAGTATTATTTCATTTAATGTAGTATTGTTTTCATAAGATGAAAACTGCATGAGTAGCTGGTGTATATTTAACTACACTATTGTATGACATTGTTTTAATCCAAGAGTAGCTGGTGTATATTTAACTTTACACTATTGTATGATATTGTTCTAATCCAAGAGTAGCTGGTGTATATTTAACTTTACACTACCTGTATGACATTGTTTTAATCCAAGAGTAGCTGGTGTATATTTAACTACACTATTGTATGACATTGTTCTAATCCAAGAGTAGCTGGTGTATATTTAACTTTACACTATTGTATGACATTGTTTTAATCCAAGAGTAGCTGGTGGATATTTAACCTTACACTATTGTATGGCATTGTTCTAATCCAAGAGTAGCTGGTGTATATTTAACTACACTATTGTATGACATTGTTCTAATATAAGAGTAGCTGGTGTATATTTAACTACACTATTATATGACATTGTTTTAATCCAAGAGTAGCTGGTGTATATTTAACTACACTATTATATGACATTGTTCTAATCCAAGAGTAGCTGGTGTATATTTAACCTTACACTATTGTATGACATTGTTCTAATCCAAGAGTAGCTGGTGTATATTTAACTACACTATTATATGACATTGTTCTAATCCAAGAGTAGCTGGTGTATATTT